GCATGAAATAGATGTGTTGAAAACAAACGCAAGGAAGGAAAAGGGGAGAAAGGTGTCGAAAGCAGTTGAATTGCACAGCTGGAAACATCAAAAGGGCTAACTGCCCGCATAGTTATGTGCACTTGAATGGACCTATGTAAATATATATACAAGCTGAAAAATTATCGGCACGCCCTACTTCCCGAAATAATTACTTAGTTATTTTCAGGGCTTTCGTGGTTAGTATATTTTTTATGTTTGTATTCAAAACTGTGTTGTATAAAAGTAATGGTAATCCTATGTTGGGCTACCTTCCAAAAACTCCTAAAGCCCTGAATGGATTAGTCAAAAGCGTTTAGAACAATAATCACTATTGGCAGTTTCTACACACTGTAAGAACACACTGTAAGGACACTACAAAAACTGAATAAAACTCACAAAATTATCTATTATATATGTTATGGTCCGCTTCCTTGTACCACGGTGATAGTCCACGGTAGAACTCGAACACGTATATGGAATAACACAGATATATTGCAAACAGGAATATATACAGAAAAGTAGAAAGTGTTAGTACGAACAATCAGGTTTAGTAGTAATTGTCTGAACGCGACTCTGTTCGGGCAGCCTCTGACTCGACTGACTGACTCGCTCGCTCTGACTGACTGACAGACTTCTGACGGACCTCACTCCAGACTTCAGACGGAACTCCCGACTTCAGACGGAACTCCAGACTTCAGACGGAACTCTCTGCTTCCTCTTGAGGCGCAGTATTTATTACGTATGGAATAGTCCATTATGTTATTATCGGTAAGGTCCCATAACAATATATATATATCTATATCTATCTATCTATCTATCTATCTATCTATCTATCTATCTATATATATATATATAAATATATATATATATATATATATATATATATAATGACGATATTAGTGATGCGTGTGGATATTTCCAAAGGCTTATAAATCCAGGGAGAGCTCTGTTAGAAACAGAACAATAATTATTCTTATAAAAGGTACAAACACTAAACCTTCATGAGGTAATAATTTATTTCATTAGGGTCGTAAAAATGGCCCCATTTCATCAGACCTTCAAATCCCACCAAAATTTAGATTTTGAAGGTACGATGAATTTGCGGCCGTTTTAAACAATGAATTGGGACTCACTCTTCCGGGCATTTTCGTTATTGTTTCTTTTGTTGTTGTTTGTTTTTGTTTTTTGTTTTTTTATTGTTTTTTTTCCTCGGTGTTGTATTACTGTAAGAAATTTGACAGTTTTGAGCCAGTAGTTTGCCACGGTTAGCGTTGTGGAGTGTTTATAGAAGCACGGCAAGCGCATCTTAATCCCAAAACCTCCGCCATTTTTTCAGCATTGTTTATGTCCATCCGCTATTTTTTTTTATCATTTTTAAACTGACGATACATTGTCAGTCATGAACTAATTATTATACATCGTGTTTCTGCATAGACGGCACTGTGCTTATACACAGGAAACACCGATGAGGTTGGTGCCTCAAAAGTGATAGTTTCTCTAGCGTTTTATTTATTTATTTTTGCTTTTTATACTTTTTACTTTTTTATACCAAAGTTATATTGTCAATCATCAACTACAATAATCGACAGAGCCGGTGCTTAAAAACCCGAACCTCTCAACTACATGGGACCTCATTCCTACTGAGGAGGGGGGTATAAATGCTAATTTCAGTAACACTTATTTTTTTTAAATTGTAATTTTCTTTTTGAACAATTCTTTTAAATCAATTAAGAGAGTAATATATAACGGTAAAATCATTTTTTATTCCATGATCATCCACTAAGGAGGTACTCTGATTTTTTTCTTTTTTTGGTGGCTAATAATAATACTAACCAGAAATTCACGGTTAGTTATTAAAATAAAATTTCTGGTCCCTATTTTTTACATTTCTAGAAAGATAAAACCGAGAAAATGATCGCCTAAAAAATAAAAATGTTTAAAGATTTCAACACATGAAAAATCTTCCAGAAACCTGAAATACTGTCTTAAAAACAAATTTTTATGGCAATCCCGTTTGTGTTGTGTTGGGATATTTGTTAAACTTTTTTGTTCAGCGTAGATGCGTCGGCGATTAATCTTTATGGAAATGTAAAAATTTCTGACTTAATAATTTTTCTAGTAAAATTTAATCATAAAAGTATTGGTAGTTATTACAAAAAGAATAACATTTTCTCAGATTTAAAAAAATAAAAGAACGTATTCATTATTAAAGTGAATAATTAATGAATATACACTGAAATTTACATTTAAATTAGATAATTCCTTGATTTTTAATAATTTTTAAACATCGCTGCCCTTCCTTCCACCCAATTTTCCTTTGTGGTCCTCAGGTTGGGAAACTTGGAAATCGACATGTTGTAGAGAGTGTGGCCCTGTGTAGAAGGCTCTCTGTGGAAACTGTATTCTCTGAGTAAGCTTAAATTTTTGCTTAAACCTTTAATATATGATTCAATTTTGAAGATGCATTTTAACTCGGACTTACGTCGTTCTTGTTGGCACTTGTGTGTGTGTGTGTGTGTGTGTGTGTGTGTGTGTGTGTGTGTGTGTGTGTGTGTAAAATAAAAACTATCAATGTCGGTGTAAGAGGGACCTACAGTTCAGTTGAGAAACTAGACTACTCGCACAGATGATTAAATTAAAATGTTGAAAGTGCCTGTAAAACCAATCACATTTTTCAGGGGAAGTGATAACAAACAAAAATAGTGGAAATCTCCAAACAGTTCTCTCTCCATGTTTTATTATCACGGAGTTTAACCTCTCTGAAATAATCTCAAACATAAGGATATTACATGTACTTAAACATAGCTCTTCTCTGAAAAACAAACTCTGAAGTTTTTTTTTCTTCTCCTAGACTGGTTGCCATTCAAAGTGTTGGAGCCACCCACCTTCTCATCAGAATGGACTGATCTCTCTACTACTAATAGGACAGTTATATAGAGTTCTGGGAAGATCAGGTGGCCATCATACTTCCGTCTCTCTACCGGAAGATACAGTTGGACTTTATACTCTTTCTGATTGTTACTGACTAACCTGCGTTCGTTTGACTACTAATTTCTCTGTTGTAAATACCTCTTCAGATATACCAGTATTTTTCCCTATGTATGTGTTTGTCCTTATTTCAATACACGCACGGGGAAACACTCAACATCTCAACACAAAGCAAGTGCTCTCAGTCTACCCTGCTACTTAACCTATCACTGAAGGAAGACGGATTCTTTTTGTAAAAGCATTAGAGCATGATTTGACTGTGATCTGAATTCGGTTCGATGGTTCCAATTCCTGCGCTGATAACCGTTACGTTACCAGCGAATCTTTACATATTCTAACGATTATCTTTTTTAATCATTTCGCCCCAATCAAGACAATAAAGCCACTAAGACGCAAAGGTTTGCTGAGTGTGAAAGAATAAGGAAAAGGAGAAACACTATTAACTAGAGGGAACAATAAAAGAACAGGAATTAAGAAAACAGAAGATAACGATTGACATTAGATTTAAATTTTTGAAGATCAAAGTTGACTGGAAAGCAAGATGCCGGAAGAGGGTTCCAAAAGGTAGAAATGCTAGAGAATAAACAGTTAGTATCCCCTTCTATTGTGCTTTCTTCGATTTCTTCAGTTGAATCATCAATTAAAAAAAAATGCCTTTCACCTTTTCACTGATTCAAGTGACAAGTTCAGTAATTTTACATGCTATAATGTAATGGTTGACGATAGTCGAACGATTATCCTCACTTCAAATAGTGGCAAACTTTAGACAACATTTATAAAAATTTATTCGTTTCCAGAATAACAAAATCACGTTATCATATGAGATTTGAAATTAGGTCATGAGAACTGTTTTTCTTAGGAAATAAAAAATAATAATTTAAGAAATAAAAAGATAAGAATTTTTAAAATTTTTATTATTAATACTATTTATCACATTCAATATCAAAATTCTCAAATTGCACAAAAATTTATCTTACATTTATTCAGTATTTTGTTCTCTTTTAGACTGTTTAAAAAAATAAACAAAAACATTTTCCAAAATAGCTTATTGTGAACATGAAAACAGTATACAAAAACGAAACCAATGCCGTGAACTTTGAAAACTGATCATTCGTTATTCGATATGATACGATCTTCGCAAAGAGGAGCACGTTTTCCAAACGTCCATTTGGCGGAATACTGAATTGGTGATGATGGAAGACATGCAAAGCACGCTGCGTTACACGGAAGTTTTCGAAAAGAGTTTTATTCCATTTGCCGACTGCCATTAGCGAAACAATTTGTCTTCCCTTGGAATAACGCAGCCATTCACAAGAGAAACAGCTTAACCTCTTACTTAAATCGTAGCTCGGAGTAAATTCCTCTTGGAACCTTTGAACTTCAATGCAAAACAGATATGTTGGGGCTTTATAATAAAAAGAATGACTTGTAGTCGTTAATCACTGCGACTTTCAAGATTAATTCTTTTAAAAATTCTAATGTCCTATTATTTCCATCTACGGAACTTGTGAGGTTTTGTAACATTTGCATGTAATTATGCACTGAAAGCACTTAAATTTATAAAAAAAAATTTTTATTATATTCCTTAGGCAAGTGTATGAAAAAAGTGTGTTAGAGCATATCTGAAAATATCTATCTATCTTTCTCTTATCATTATCTATCTATCTATCTATTTTAATTTTCATGTGTTTACATATAATAACGTGGGATACACTTTAACTAATATTTAAAACCTGCAAGTTTATTTGTCGTGTGTATTATAAATATTTCCGTCACGATCCGATATTGTAGTCTGTGATTTGATTAAAATGGCATAAGAGCGGTGACAGTATTCATGAGTCATTCAGCAAACCGAAAACAATTCTTCGTTTGGTCTTTCAACAGTTTGACAACTTTCATTGTGTGGTTCTCTTTGCAATTGACACAAGTCACAGTCAACACAATAAAATGACAATAACTGCAGTCTCAGCATAAAGCGCTCGGCTATTGTTTCAACATATGTTTGTATGTAGGCATATGTATGAGTGTGTGCGATATAGATAGCGTGAGAAAAAGACAAAGGGGAAGAGGGAAGAAAAGACACTGAAGTAAAAAGGAAGAGATAGATAGGAAGAAACTAAGATGGATAGATAGATAGATAGATAGATAGATAGATAGATAGATAGATAGATATTGAACAGATTGGAATAGATAGATAGATAGATAGATAGATAGATAGATAGATAGATAGATATTGAACAGATTGGAATAGATAGATAGATAGATAGATAGATAGATAGATAGATAGATAGATAGATAGATAGATAAGGATAAGAGAAAGATAGATAGATATTTTCAGATATGCACTAACACACTTTTTTCATACACTTGCCTAAGGACGGTATTGCTAGTTTTTGAAGTCCGTAGGGCATTGGGTGGCGCCAATTTTCCATAGCGGACGGACTCACCTGTCACGGAAATCAACATTTGCCATGGAGCCATATACGTAATATCGAACGATGACATCAGTGGAGACGGCGGCGAATGCGCAACAAACTCAACCACCAAGCGGGTCCTTGACACACGTATACAAAATGAGCCAACAGATTTATTCAAACAATTAGTTTCTTTCTTTCTCCTTCAACATCACCCCCATTACTACCATACACACATTCGACTACATCCCTGTTTTGGATTCTAGATTCTCACAGAAAAAATGTAAATTAAAATGATCACACACGCGCGCGCGTTATTTCGATTATTCCTTCTGATGATAAACAGATATAAATGTCACGCATGCGCACACAACTTACTTTAGTTCCTTCTAGAACGAAAGCAAAACGTCGTCACATCGGTAAATATATGTGCGCACTACCGACATTGAAGTTTCTTGCATAAAGGACGGAAGAAAAGTCAATAAAAGGACAGGATCCTCATCAAATATCGATTGGATTTATCGATGAGTAACATGGGATTGGTGACAACATCGTTAGAACAGATATTCAAGTCATGGAGCCCTGGACTCCAAGCAAGTCAAGAACAGGAAATAAGAGAAAAGGAAAGGAAAGAGGAAGAGGTGATATAAAAAGTGGAAATGAAAGGAAAGAAGGAAATAAATGAAGAAAAGAAAAAGAAAGAAAGAAAGAAAGAAAGAAAGAAAGAAAAGTGGTAAAACGGGAATAAGGAAAAAAGAGAGAAGAGAAAAGGAAAGGAAGCAGGAAGCACCGATATAAAAAGTGGAAATGAAAAAGAAAGAAAGAAAAAGTGAGAAAAAGAAAGAAAGAAAAGTGGTAAAAAAAGGGAAAGAAAGAAAAAGGTTCAAACAATAGAAGAATTAATAAAAACGAAGTAAACGGTAGAACGAGTAAAGAACGGGTTAAATAATTACAGATAAAATATGGAATGTAGACAAAAACGACGAAGAAAAAGCAGTAAAAAATACGACAGGAAAAATTAAATGCCAAAAATACACTAGAAGCGAAGCAATAAAATATGGAAGAGTAAAGGTATAAGGACAAACATATTTTGTTCAACTTTTAAATATTGACTGAAAAGTATATAAATAATCAGTACCTAGGAACTGATAAAATCTTTTAATATCAAGGTCGTCACAAAATTAATGCGATATTTTCCTCAAAGTAACAAGCAATTGCTAAACAACCGAGGCAGGTCTTTATAAATATTCTTCTAAAATTAAATTTAAAAATCACGATTTTTATGCAAATAGATAAATCAATGTTATAAATCCTGGTTTTTACTAGGTTCGAAAACTATTGCTAGTGCAGATACAAAACTACCTTAGCCACCAAGCAAATAATTTCATTATTATCCTTTTTATAATTATAATAATATTTGAAAATAAACTTATTCGTACTATCGCTGTTTCCAAAGTGTGAAACGCAGTGACGATTTGGATCGGAGTTTGATTTGTTAGTGTTACTGTTTGATTTGTTAGTGTTACTGTTCTGTCTTTAATTTCTAGGGGCATTGAGCACTTTAAATTTTTTTTGTAGGTAGGTGTCTGTTTTTTCTCTTCTTTTGTTTTTTTTTTTTTCGTGATCTTTCTTGGTCTTTCATCAAAGATTCGGAAAATTACACCTAAATTTGAATCATTGTTTTTCATACTAACCCTACGCAAGATGAAATTCTGTGGAACTTCTGTTTAAATGGTTTAACGTTTTAGCATGTCTGAAGATTGTCTCGACAGCGCGAAATTCTTCAGCGTTTGATCTTTGAAAATCCTACTGAATTTCACCAGAATTGCCTATTTAAGGAATAAACCAACGAATATAAAACAATGTCTCACCCAATTCTAACTCGGTATATATAAAAAATTTTGAACGTGTTCGAAGACTGTATAACGTTAATTTCAAGCCTTTAACATGTTGCATCCAAATACTTTATACAAATCCATATTTTTCATGTGAATATATTCAAGTGAGAAATTTATTTTAGTATTATTGTAAATAAAACAAAGTTTAAAAAATATCTTTTTACTTTGTAGAAAGAGTAAAATTGATTTTTTTTAAAGAGAAATATTTTTAATGAAAGAAAAAGACAAATTTCTGCATGAAGATCCAGTTTGCGATGGCAACGGAAAAGAATTCAAATATCTTTTGTGATTTTTGCAGAGAGGGTTTGTTTCCAAATTTAAAACAGAATTGTAAAATATTTTAAAATTAAAAAAAAGTCAAATTGGAGTTGGAAAATTGTTACGCCAGTCTTACAAGTAGAGTCAATCTATCATAAAAATCAACATTCAAAATCATAGTTTTTACCCAGACTTGAATAATATCCAAGGCCTATTTCATCAATATACGAGAGGGTGCTGCAAAGATTCGCGGCCAAAGAAAACCTTCCAAAAACAATTCCAACGTTTTGTCCTTTGATCACCAGCTTTTATGCAGTGGGTTGATCCGAGAACTCTTCAATCTTCCCTCGTCATTAAAGAAAAGCCGAAGAAAAAACAGCCGCCATTACAGTCACTCGTGACAAACACTCCGCGCTTACCTCCTTTTAACTTCGACAAAATAATGAATAAAACCACAATGATTAACAAACTGAAACCAATAGTCGGCGATTTTATTGTAGGACAAAAAAACAAATTAAACTACAGGTCTTCAGATTTTGTTTTGATAAGCATTAAAACAATTATTGTTACTTTCTTCGGGTGAATTATTTTAAATCATCTTCCGACCCAAAAGTTCAATAATACTGATACAGTTGCATCGAAATGAATTTATAAATATTTCAAGAAACAGTAATAAACGAAAAACTAGAAAATATTTTTCGATAAACAAGTCTCCTTTATTAAGGGAGCGGTTAGATACAAAGTAATTTTCAAAGAAATGTATTTTGATTGCTACCAGAAAAAATTGAAGAAAGGATTTGGGGAAGGAACACATTTAGATAGTGGAGAAACATTCCAAACGTGAGGCCGTGGCTGGGGTAGAGAAAATAAAATTGATTCGTCATCATCAAACAGAAAAAAAAATTAATTAGAAATAATGATAATAAGAGACATGTGGGAAATTCATGTCAGTCGGTCATTTAAATATTTGAAATATTTGAAAATCTTCAAAGAGCTACAGCTTTAAGTTTTTGTTACTTTCGATTTTTTCCATTTCAAACCATTAATTTTCTTTTAGGCGGGAATAGAAATTATAATCCTTAATTCTAGCTTTCCTCATCTCTTTCATATTATGTAGATTTCCACACCAGAGTTTTGTGGTTGGCAATACTGCAGACCAAGCGACAGCAAGTATCCTGAAATAGCCCCCATCGTTTTTTCTTTTTTTTGCACATTTCAACATTTCTCTGAGATTTACCATCTTATTTTCCTTCCTTCGGATCTAATAATATACCAGTCTTTTCGAGTTTTTGTGGGTCTTGTTTCCAACACTCAAGTGGTGATAGGTCTTACGTACCTCTCTGGAAAAGGCCTGATATTTGTACATTTTTCTTACTTTCTTTCATATTCGCTTTATAGTCAGATGGTTAGATGGAATGGTTACAATTTCTTCTTAACAGTTTTTCTTTCTCGTGCTTACTGACCAAATTTAGTCACCTGTCTGAGGAAAGGGGTCACCAAGTCTTGAAACATCTTATTTCTATCGTCAAAGAAAACATTAGGTTTTATCACCTACCATATTATTATTATTATTATTATTATTATTATTATTATTATTATTATTATTATTATTTCTTTTAATTTCTGGTTTATATTCATTTCTTTATGGAACTCAACTAGAAACTTAAGGTCAGAAATTACATCATGACATTTTCCACTGAGGATTTTTGAGGGAAAAAAAAAGATAAGGTCACATATTTTACATAGATAAAGCCCTTCGTTTAATTTTGAGTAAACCTTTTTGTATTTCTTTAAGGCATGGCCTTCCAGGAATCCCTTCAAGGAGTCTATTGGAATCTTTTCCAATCAATCCAAGGGCTCCTACTACAACTGGAGTTGATGATGTGCTCATGTGCCACATTTTGGAGATTTCGATTTCAAGGTCCTTGTATTTTCATAGTTATTATTATTATTATTATTATTGAGTGAGAGAGAAAGGAGGCCAACAAAATGATACGAAGGCCCAATATACACATCTTGACAGCCAGTCTAATAAAAGTATATCAGGCATATGCATCACGGCCAAATGTGACCGATATAATAACAGGTTTTGGCAAAATCAGCGAATAACCATGCAGGTGGGGCCTAGTTAGAAATAATTTAATGCCAGATAAACCAGTCCCCGCTCAGACGGCATCCGGTTGAGGGTGTTCTCAAGTATCAAGATAGGACTCCCAAGTCACGTTGGCTGCCTCATTCTTCAAACTTAAAAATAAACAAAAAAACAACACACTTGATATTTGAGCATGATGCCCCCCCCCACTACTACCGCCCATGAACAGTGATCCATAAGCCACTAGGGGACATGCACAACTGGTTATATTCAGGAAACTAACAAACAATTTATTTTTATTATTTCCTTTGATTTAGGTTGTATACCTATTTCCTCCCGGGCCCCAACCGGAGACCTAAGATCAGAAATAGCTTCATGACATTATAAAAACTCTTCGTAATATGTCAACTGTATTTGTGAGTACATTTTTTTTTATATTTCTTCATCCCTTCAGTGAGTCTATCGGAACCTTTTATTATTATTATTATTATTATTATTATTATTATTATTATTATTATTATTATCATCATCATCATCATATAGAAATCAAAATGTTTTTCTTCTTTGTATATTAGCTTTATCATTGTAGCCTCGTTATTGAATCATGTGCCATAGAAGCACAGCAACCCCGCACTAAGTTATACTTTTCCGATCTCCGTAACATTAGGATTTTTTTACTGACT